GGTGAATAGCCCCTTCTTTATCTTTACTTCTACGAAAATATTTCTATATAAAGTTTTTTATTTACATGCTAAAAGGGGAAGTTTTCACCTTTAACAAGCCAATATGATCTCTAGAAAACCTATTATTATAAAATAGACTTTTTAACTGGGGATACAGCGCTAAATATGCTTTGAAGGAAAGCTTAAGTATTTGAGGACTGTTTATGTTTCCAGAAAACCATTAAGGATGGAGCATATTGGAAGCTTATGCCTGTGAAACAAGAAGAACATATTTTTAGCAGGGCTTACAATATGATGTCTAGTCAAAACTCAAGAACCTTAAGCATCATTGTACAGCATCCCTGAACATGATATGATGTTCCAAATATTTGGTCACAGCCATCCCCAACAAAAATTGTCTCCAAGTGAGTAATACCTTCAATGTCGGGTTTGAGTTGGTGGTTTTATTAGTCATTATAACTTTATTTGTTTTTCACTAAGAACAAGAAAATAAAAAAAAAAAATTATAAAATTAAAACTTTGTGCAAGAGCAAAATCAAGACATTTCCGTTTCATACCAAACCAGAGAGAATACTTTATGTTATTGTCAGTTAATGAATTTATTCCTAAAAATGACACTATTATTTTAATGAATAAATGGAACACAAGATTATGTTTGTCTTTTGTGTTTAATTAAATTTCATTTTGGCTCCAAGAGATCTGCAAGATGAAAAATATAACCTAGGTGTTTTAGACAACTGTAGAAGGTTATATTTATACATATTTTATGTTAGATTTGGAGAAAAATTCCCTGAAGATTGATTATATGAAGATAATTTCTGCTAACATTTTGGACTGGTAGCAGCTTGTTTTCATACTACCAAGGAATTTATTTGAGCTCCATACAGCTTATAATAAAAGCATAATTTCAATTTTGATCTTCTTCAGAGAAGTGAGCTCTGTTAGGTACTAAAGACTGTCATTGCTGTAATATTTGAGACTGCAGAGATTTGCAAAAGTTTCCTCCTCCCACAGGCTTTGGCTATATTTGTCAACCCAACAAAAACTGTAGGGTGAAACCTGAGGAGTGCTGATCTCATGTATCTCCTGCTGACATCAGTAGGAGCTTAGCACCTATCAGCATCAATTGTTACTGCAGCTGACCCTAAATAATGCAAAAAAAAATTTAAAAATAATAGCAAACTGAACAAAACCCAAATTATGCAATAGATACCGGGAAAAGTTTTAAGGCTACCCTAAAAATTCAGGATCATCTTAGTTTTACAATTTAGCATCTCTGTTGTGACCAGCAAAACATGATACAGAATTAAATTCAGAATCAAAGCCCAAGTTAATTGTATGACGGTGAGAGTTTGAAAAGACTGGCTGTGATCTATGTAAAAATTAACACAAAGTCAATCTAAAGTAATACTGTGATAGGAACCAGCATTGTCTCATGGGTCTCTGCTTTTACATTTAAATGACAAATGCATCCATTATGAACATTTAGGCTTTTGTTTTCTGTCCACCACCCAAACTATTTGGTCTTTGACACGGGAAGGATTTAACTGTGTTTGTAGGGGTTTATACAATGAAGATTCTGAGCCATAAGGGAAGCTCTAATAATAAAGAATAATAAATAGCATATTTAACATTAAATTTAAATAGCATTATTAACATTATTGAGTTCATAGTGCTCACATATGCCTTTCTAAGGATTCTAAGCTTATGTGTCTATGTGTCAAATCTTGGTTCTTTCTGCCATACTGCTTCTCAGAAATGTTTGTTGCTGTGGTCCAGTGTGTTTATTAGCTTAATCTGACTGGTCTGGATTTACTTTGGGGAAAGCTGATTGAATGGCACCCCTCTATTTTAAAGTTGGAAGCAAGGCCTGGCATATTTGTACTTGCTGGTGCCTGGAGTCAGTGTAGTTAGGACTTTGTTTTACTTCAATACCATGGTTTGATATCTTTTCATAGTGACCTATGCAGAAATACTAAATTTATTTGTCCCCAGGAAAGTCAGGAGTCCAGAAGCCCTGAAGATAAGAAATCACAATAGAGATAATTTCTAGTCATAATAAAGACATAGCTAAGCCTGATTGTAACGGGAATCACAGTTGCAATACCACATTAAAACTAAAATATGAAAATGAATCACAGGAAGTCCAAGAACAAAGATCAGACATCTAAATTATGATGGAATTAGTCAGATTTTGCCACAGGGCATAAGCATCAACCTGCAGTTTCCTTTGAAAGTTACTGCAGATGCCAGGGGCTAACAATAACTCAGTACCAGAAATGGGTTTTCAACTGTACAGTATTCCAGTGTATAAAATCAGCGAAGATCTCTCTGAAGTGGACTGTGTCTCATCTTTACTGCCAGCTAGCCTTTCAGCCTTTCAAATGTTCAGAATGCATCACTATGGAGAAAATCACTGAAGCGTGAGCTTCCATGTGAGCTTTTAAAGTTCTGTTCATTACTTCTCAGTTCTGGCTGTTGTTTTTCCTTTTCAGAAAGGCAACCTATCTTCTCTATCACTGTCTTGTAATAGTCACTCTTCCATGCCCTCTTCTTCCTTATTTCCCTCTTTCCTCCCACTTTATTTTCTGTCTGCCGAGACATCTTCAAACACACGACTATGTGTTCATGCAACAACTGTACCAGAAGTTATGGAGAAGTCCACTGGCTTACAGACATGCAGCTCCACAGTGAATTATCAAGTGTTACGGCAATGTCCACCTAACTGAACATCCATCTGAATAGGCTAGACAACTGTATTGTTAATGTACCTTACAAACATAAAAAGTTGATTTGGGATATAATTAATAAAGTGGTTTGGGTTTGGGGGGGTTTTGGTGTTTTGTTTGTTTGTCTGTTTGTTTGCTCTTTTATCTAATCATATTGTGGAATTGCAATGGCATCCAGCTAATTTTCGTAACACTTCCATCTTACACAGCAAATTCCCTCCCAGAGGGACCAGTGATACAACAGGACTTGAGCCCTGTGTCACAGTTTGACACGGAAGAGAATTTTCTCAGGAAGCTGGGGTCAAACCAATCAGTGTCACGTTTGGATATTGGCACCTGGAGTGACTACTGAAGGCTGGACACGCCTCTGAGAACACAGGGGGTTAAAAGCCCGAATTCCCAGGAGAACCAGGAGAACTGTCTCTTTGGTTCTGGTCATCGGAGAGTGCAGACCCTCCCCTGCCCAGCCACTGGCTGGGTGGGGTGGGGAAGCCATGTGGCCTGGGGACGTAGGCCAGGGGGTGAAGGGTCTGGAACCGAGCCAGGCCAGCTCCTGCGGACAGAAGGGTGGAGGATGTCTGAGATGTCTTTGTTATCCCCCCAACCTAGAGGGAAAAGAGATAGAGAGCCAGCAGACACCTGGAAGTTTGCCGGCAGAGGAGAAGAAGGGGGGGAAGGTGCCCAGCGTGGGAGATGGAGTCCTGGGCCAAGATTTCAGCCATCCGAGGAGTGAGTCCAGGACTTTTAACCCTTTCCTGGGAAATGAAGGCTTTGTGAAATATTACTCCTCCTTGATTTGAAGGAAAGAGAGACAGCCTGGGACCTGAGATGTTTGGAAAAGAAGGCTGAGGGGAGATGATGGAGTGGCTTTTGGCTGGACTTTTCTTGCTAGCCATAGACTGAACCAATTTCTCCTCCAAGAGAGACTGCATTTTAGGGGGTTGCATGGTGAGCCAAGAGACCTGCTTCAGCAACTACCAGTACAGGAATGGAGTGAACAGAGAAAAGCTGAGGAGGGTGTGATGATGCCCTCTGTCTTCAGGAAGATAAGATCTCTGTTTTCACCCTCGGCCCCAGGGGAGGAAGAAAATGGGCTGTGGTCCCAAAATGAGACACCGGACTCTTGTTCCTGTTGGTCCTTAAAGAAGCCCTATAAGCAGTCTCTGTCCATGCATGGTGGTGAGAGCACTGTGACATGGAGAGGAGAGTGTCACACTGTCAGATTCTCTCCGGGTGGTGCCATGTGTGACATGGAAACCCAAGAGGTGGCAATTGTGTTTCTTGGGGGCGTCTATGGCACAGGAGAGACTCCTCTCTTCCCTGAGGACTTAGTATTGATTATACTGAAGGGTGAATACTTGATTAAGGGTCCAAGTTGTGTCTCACTGTGGTTTGTTGGATTTAGGTGGGGGGAGAAGGAATATTTTGGAAGGTTTTCATTTTGGATTTAGTGTGTGTTTGTTTTGGGTTTTTTTTCCCTTTTATCATAGTAGTAGTTTAATAAAGTTTTTCTCCCTTTGTTAATAAGCTTGGGCCTGCTCTGCTCTGTCCCAGATTGCATCTCACAGCATTCATTTGGGAAGGTGCATTTTCATGGGGGCACTGGCATTGTGCCAGCATCAAACCGTGACACCCTGCTTACAGTAAAAATATAGTTTTGAGAAAGTTTCTCTCAGCCTGCAAGAAAATACTCATCATTAAATAAAATGTACTATTCATTTGCAAGCAGCTACTCTGTACCATCAGCTGTCTAGCACTGCATGGCTGAGTAAAGCCTGTGCATGAAGATAAGTCATTGATAGCACTACTTTTCTGGGAAGAGTCAGGCTTCTTCATGTAGGTATCTGTGATATTATTAGCCTGTGTGAAAAATTACTCCTTTAACACATTAAGTGATGGCAAAAACTAAGCTTATTTTAATTACTTTTTTTTTCAGTTTTCATGTTAATTTTTAGTGTATAAGTAATTTCTTCATTGTTTCAGCATAGCGGTATAGCACCCTGAAACCCTTCTTCTGCCACTTGTATCTGTTTACATGTTTGTAGCCAAGAGATATACCAAAGATATATGGCTCCTAGATGTATACATTACTACAAACATTGATTTAGCTCTGCTTAATTAATAAAAATGACTAATCATTCATTTTCTGGTCCAGTAATCAAATATATTTCTTTGTTGAAAGCCTCTTCTTACAATTGCTACCTGTTTTAAAAAGATCTATAAGTGACAATACTGAAATTTCCTCAATCTAAGAGAATTTTCCCATTTTAGGAAAACTTTTCAGGTCAGTGGGATTCCAGCAAGGGTCAGAGGGTAAGTAGAACTCATCCCAAAGTAATACTGGTGTAAATATTTAAGTGTCTGTGACACTCTCACTTTCAAGATGGAGAGTGAGATTATTTGCCAAAAGACTTACTCATCAAATCGGCAGGGTGAAGAGGTGATTTGAAATTAATATATGCGATATACAATGCAATTTGTTGCATTGTTTGTTGCACTGCTTATGAAATAACATTTTTCATCATGCCTTCAATCTTTATATTCTGTCTAAATTCCGTTACCTCTGAGATGGATACAAAAGGATAATGCTGAACCAAAATAACTGGATCATTTAAACTTAAATCCATGACTTATGGTTATCAGTGAAAAAATAAGCACAACAATCAGCTGGATTGTGTAAATGTGTTGTTCTAATAGCAATTTTTATTAGCTCTGATTTGGACCAAAAGTGGAAGGCAACTTGGAGGAATTATGGGAATGTAGTTCAGTTAGTCAGATCAGAAAGATCCTAAGCATATCATGAATTGGCTCAAATGGTATTTACCTTCATTTCACAGCGGTTGCACAGATTAGACCTGGATAGTTTTTGAATGTTTCATTCACACAGAAGAGCAATTTCAAGGTCCTTAACCAAAATTTGTGAGAGCATTGTTCATATAAAGTATCTGGGCATACACAAGAGAATTTAATATTCCAGACTGTTCTGTTCTACAGTTGACATGAGCCAAGGTCTCCTTTGCCTGATCTTGATGGGCTGCTCAGGTAAATGATAAAGATCTAATGAATAAGAGTAAAAACAAATAGCTAACAGATGTACAGACACTATCCACTCTATTAATTAATGCTGCTGTACATTATGTGGAACTAATGCAAATTATTGTGTGCAGAATGTTTACAGATTGGGATTGTGTTTAGCAACTTGGTGAGAACCTCAGTGGAAGTTTTTCCAATATAGTCAAAAAATGCTGTGAAGGAACTTGCAAAGTACAATCACTGTGGCATTTCTTCATGACCTTTAGGTTCTAATTATTTCTCCTTGTTTAAAATTTTTTTTTGCAGTTTGAGTCAATTAAAGCTGCATTTTATCATTACTTTTAAACAGGTAAGACAATGCTGATTTTTTCTACAGTTCAATATTATAACCCCAGAAAAATAGTATTACTGATGAAATGGTTTTCAGTCTCAAAAGACTTATTAAATTAAGTATTTCTAAAATTAGACATCTAAATTGTGACACTTTAAAAAGTCTCACTCTAGTGCCAATATGTCCTTCAGAGTATGTCAAGTTTTTCAGAGAGCTACAATTTCTTTTTTCATCCACTTCTTGAAAAAGAGGATTTTTTGAATATTACATATTCAAATATTACAGTCACTTGTTTATTTTGGTATTCAAGTGGGTTTAGACTCAAAGTAACATTTAAAGGAAACTCAGTGGTGAGTTGCAAATTGCAACTGAAATGAGTCTTGTATAGCTGATAGTTTAGTAAACTACCAGTTGTCTCTCTCACATAGTTACTATGAATGCTGGAATAAAAACCTTCTCAATTTTTTTTTCATCATGCAAAAATAAATTAAAGCAAATCTGTTGTTGATTTTGGCCAGTGTTTAGCAATTTGCTGTATTCAGCTCCAACTCTTGTGCTGATTCTTAAGGTGAAGTAAAGAGAAATATTAGTAGTTAAAAGAGGAACAGTGGGAAAGGAGGTGTACTTCACCTGAAGCCCAGAACTTAGGTGTGGTATGCACAAGACAATGAGAAGTATAGAATCACTTAAAAATTTGGTGTAAACTTGTGTTTGTACCACACTAATGGTATCATATGTGATACCATCGTATTCAGCTGCTGTGTTTAAGCAGTTCCATTTTTAATGCCTTTGCTAAAAAATATTTTCACATCCAATAACCAAAGCCAATCCTACTTGCTGTTTAAGGGAGTCAAAGTCTTCTTTAACAAGCTCTCAAGTGTGAAAATAATTTTTTTTCATTCTCAGCATAAAAATAGATGCATCTGCTTGGTAGTATTCACGAACAAGTTGTAAGCAGAAAAAAAAAGGCATTTTTATCTTCACTCCATATTGTGTATCAATTATGGAATTAAGTTTGAACATTAAAACTACCTCCCAGCCATTTGTATTAAATACAGTATTTTAATATTTATTATTTTGGTTCTTGAAGCAGCTAGTTTATTGGAGACTTCCACTCTGAATTCAGGGTTTCACAGTATTACTGGACTACTGTGAACTGAAATAAAAGCAAACAAATTCTGTGGTAATAATCTGCTACAATATCAAATCAGCTGCAGTGTTTGTAACTCCACGTGATCTCTGGTAAAGCAGTGTGTTACATTTTTATTCAACATAGCCAGGAACTCCTGAAGCCTTTGCCAGGATTGTAGAAGGGAGCAGCCGCTTGAGGTTTGGGCTGCCTGCAATCATGTAATTAGCTTAACTGAATACCAGAAGTTCTGAGAAGAGGTTATTTATGAACTAATTGACAGCCTGCACTGGTTTACCATAGGAAAGAGAAAAAGATAACCTAACAGGAGAAAAAGCCATCCTTTAAATGGAACTCTTAGAGCAATTAAATGATTTGGTTTGCCTGTTTCCAGTATTCTTGAATTCATGGTTCCCTTGCTGGGGCAAATTTAACCACTGTCTACTGAGGAAATGTTTGGGGTTTTTTAAAATTCTTTTGTGTCAGCATCCAAGCTTTCCTCATACTTCTTGCTTAACAGTTCTACATTCTGGTTTTAAATATGATAAACAGCTTTTCATACCTAATTGAACAATTGTTCTCATCAAATACCCTCCTCAAATATCTGTCAGTATGTTTAATATAAGAGATTTCAAAATGTTTGTAATCAGGGCCAGTTCAGGGTCCTAAACAGATTTTAACGTTGCTCTTCCAATACTTCTTTTATTCTGATTTGTTGTCCATATAAAAAGGGTAGTGACATATTATTTCCTGTCAGGGCAGTTCTGAAAATAGGTAAAACAAGATCTATGAGCATTCAAATAAAAGGATATTTGTGGGTAAATCTATGGTATTTATTAGCATATATAATAATTTATAAAAACTATTCTTTAAATGCTTTTAGAGTCTTGGGTACTAATACTTTAGTATTAATAGGTCTCATTTGCAGTTTTCAAATAAAAAAACAACAAAGCTCTTGTTTTCATGTAGCTATTTTCAGTAACTTGGATCTGGTATACATTCTTGCATACCTAACACCTCTTGTCTTGTAATTTCTTTGATTGTTGAGGTCATCATAAGCATAAATTGAACCATAAGTAATAAGAATTAATGCTGAGTAAGTACAATCAATCTATAGTTAAAGAGCTTAAAATAGCCTACTATACCTTCTAGTAGCTGTTATAAGCATTTCTCAGGAACTTCCTCTGAGCTGCTCCTCAGCTGAGCCCAAGGTGAACCCCTTTTTTGATGCAATCACTTGGTCAAAAATGAACAGCTAAAATGAAAGTAATTTTTCAAGAGAGGACATGATTGCTGTGTGAGAAGCTTTGGTTAACTAATCTGAAATATTTCAATTAGACACATTCTCAACACTCCTAGATTTTTCAAATAATAAAAATAACTTTTCTGGATATTTTTCTTAGTGTCCACTTACTAAGGAGATTAATGTTTACCTGTGTTAGGAAAGAAATTGCTTTCCTGCCAGTTCCATGTTCCCCTTCATACTCTTTCCCTGTCCCAAGGAAAGTAGAGTTGCAGAGTTGTTTGTTTGTTTTGTTTTTTTTTAATTCGAACCCATGAATGACTTTTACATATTTAAGCAATTGTTTGTGCATTATAGGACCCTCCCAGAACCTGCATGTAGTTATGCACCCATTCACACAGCTTCTTGAGTAGTGACTACACACAGAGCAGTAAGAGCATCCCTCTTTTATAGAGAAGACTTGTGTTCCATTCTCTTAAGGTTTGAGGTCTTCTGTGTTGCTCCCTACTCATTTTCTCCAGCATTTCTCCAGTCTGTTCATTAATGGTGGTGAGATAGATATGTCTGTAGAAAGATATAGATGTTGGCAGGACAGAAGGGAATTATATAAATTAGACCTATTTAATTTTCAGTGATCACAGAACCTTCTGAAGAAACCAGTGATCTCCTCTGTGACTGCAGCTGTAGGTTCTCATAAGCTCTTCCCCAGCTTTAATGGAAGTGAGGGAATTCCGTTTCCTGTCTCTCAGATAGATATAATGGCAACATCCCTTAATAGCTTTCTGACTCATATGAACAAAACTAGGAGGGATGAAGATGGATTTATATGCATTGTCTCCTTCATTTTGAAAAATTTTAGCTTCTGTTCCTTGCTGAAACACCTTACTGCACTGAAATTGAATTATCTATTTAATCAAAAATATTTGGCCAAAATATTGACAGATTTTTGAGGAGAGCTGACACATATCAGTGCTTGCCACAGTTAGTAAGTTTAGCAGCTGCTCTAGGGAAACTGAACAGCTAGAATTGGCACTAGGGATGGTATAGAATTTTTTTCAGCTCATACTGCAGAGGATTTTGAGCAATTCACTGTCGCCTCTCAGTTTGCTCTCCCTAATAAAAAAGCTTTGGTAAGTTTCCTTTGATACAATGCTGTTTGTAAGGAGCAATCAATAAAACATGTCCAAAGCTGGTCGATAGGGTGAGTAGCATGGAAATTAGAGTAGGTTGATACAGAGGGAAGTAGAAGAAGGAATGATAGTTACGGAACCAGAACTCTTGAGTCTGGTACAGTGGAAAATGGCAAACCAGAAAGGTGTGCAAAAATGGTGTAATTATTTACACCAGAGCTCCAGGCTAGGAAGATGACAGCAGCTGTGTTTTGAGTTGACTTGAAAATTGAGCCATTTCTGTTGAGGAGACTAGAACTGAAAGGATTAGTGTCAAGAGGGAAGATTATAATGGGGTTTATATGCTGCTACTGTGTTAGTCAACAAGATGAAAACAACACCATGCTAAGAAGCTTGGGGACAATGAGATTGATTTTGTTTTCTCCATTTTAAAATTGTATTTTCAACAACATACCCAGTCTTTTCTTTACTGGCTGTGTGACCTTTAGAGGTTTTTACTCTTGATTATTTCCTTTCTTGTGGTTGCTTTTAATATATAGTAGAATATTCAGTCAATGTAGTAAATCTCTTTCTTTATGTGTTTGGAAACAATGCACATTATTTATTTTCCAAACTACATAATAGTTTATGAGAATGAGGACCTACTACTGTGATTGCTGCTTTTCCTGCTCCATTAACCCACAAAAAGCTCAATTTCTAATGAAATCTAAATCTATTTGAAAGCCAATGAATATCTAATATTAATTCATTTTGTAGCATTCTTAAATAAGATATGATATATAATCTTTGGCTCAGTATATGCATGATTCCTACAGAAGAAGACTGCAAAATATTTCTGGGAAATTATTGTGAGGGATTGTTTGTGGAATTTTTTTATTAACTAGCCCTAATCAGTTCCATTAATCTTTATGTGTAGGTAGACACTTTCATAAAATAACATGACTGGCTTATTTTTTACTATTCAAATAATTTATGTTTTATTTCACTCTAGCCTTCTGTCAAATATTGTTTGGGTTTTTAAAATGTATTTTGGTTCAAAATTCAGACATTTAACTTATTCATTAATATTTTTGAAGAAGATGCATTCTCCTCTTGACGGTACTGCAGAGAAATAGGAACTCCTAGGCTAATGCTAACATATGTCCTGAAATTATTTGTTTAGTGAGTGTAGGGACTCACTAAACAAACTTATTCTTTTATATGTTTTGAGTAAATCCTGACTCAACTAATTTTCTGTTTTTCCATGTATAGAATTCCAATATCAAGTTCATGAGACCTTGTGTATGGAAATTGCAAACAAGGACTTTTATGCTAAAATTTTTATTATCATTAGTGTCTGTGGGCAATCCAACATACATTAGTATAAATAGCTATCCTTTGCTCTTTTGGAAATATGATAAAAGTTTGAGTGGCATCAGCTTTAAAGGGTGCATGTTAAATGGCATACATAAAAAAGTCCAAACACTTTTTTTTTTTTTCAAATGCAAATTAAAATGGAAAGGGAAGTAATCTTAGA